ATGCAAGCAAGGCCAAGGCCGCGGAAAGTTTGGAGATCTCGAAAAATTATGGGCACGATTTTAGGAAAAATGCGGAAGAAACAAAAAGCTCATAAACCAAAAATATGAGCCCTAATTTAGAAATGTTGATGAAATCAGTACGCAAATACCGCAAGACTTCAGTTAAAAAATTTTATAGTTTCAATCAGAAATTTGTATTTTTTTAGTTATATTGTTGAATCAAACGATTTACTAGTCTTTTTTATGGCAAATAGGACTTTTTTCATTTATCAGTGATACTTTGTCACTGACAAACTGCGTAGTTCTAATACCAGTCCCCATAGCAATGACAATGTTAGCCCACGGTTGTTTACCTTATATGAAGTAAATTTATAATTAAAAATAGGATAAGTAAGCGCAAATAAATTTCAGATCATTTCAGCACTTTCATAATGACACCAGTCCATAGGAAAGGTCTGCACGACAATACCAGTTACTCATTCATAACAAAGTTTTGCATACATCAAATCCCGAATCAGTGGTCTTCTGAACCATAAGTAGAATTTGAAGTAGAATTTCTCCGGACTCACAGAACCGGTTATTTATTTATTTTTTGAATAAATAAGCAATGGACAGAAATTTTTCATAGAGAAAGCACCGCAAAGATGATGGGGCAAAAAATATCTCGTCATGCACGGAGGTGAATAGATCTTCCTCGACGACACCTTTGAGCGCCAACGGTAAAAATTGATGTAGGTTAAACAGCAGGTGCTGTGATGATCGTTTGCACGGGAAGAGCTTTCAGTTTTGTGGTGCGATGAAAGGAGGAAGTACAGAATTACGAAAGCTTAACGACGATCGTTCCAAAATTGGACTACGTCAATCACGTTCATTGTTGGGGTTTAATGCGTTGGAATACCCGTTGATAGAGATGGAAATGCCGTTACGTAAGCATAATGGAAGTGAGCATTAGTTCGTAATTATCTTTCAAGTACATAAGTGGCATCCATCGAGACATTTAACGTTGAATCAATGTTGAATGAAACGTTGTTCGGTTGAATAAACCTTCATAAAACGTTGTTTCAACGTCATCTGCCTGATGGGATGAGTCAATAAATGAGATGAAAAAAATCCGAAAACTTTAAAGAAAGGCAAATGTCACCTGCATCAAGAGACCTGATAATTGCCCGAACATCAATTTTTGCAAGAGCAGCACTACGACAGCTGGATAAAATATTTTTGCTTCTATGAACCACAAATGAAAACTTCATCACTCCAGCTAAGTTCAACTCCAGCCATCATCTTACCAGCATCAGCCAATAAATTCTCTACGACTTCGAGCAGACACAAACGTTGCACTAAAATGTACTCACGGCAATCATAGTGTGAAGGACAGCAAGTGAAGGCTCGGTATTTGGGCCTGCAGCCCTTCATGGGCATCACACATTTATGCTCCACACACTTGCGACGACCGTGGATGCAGAAGCAATACTTGCAGCCGTCCGACCCTGGCACGGCCGAACCCTCCGCGAAAACCATGTCCAGCACCACGCAGTCTCACCATATGAATAAGTCCATTAATATCGAGTAAATTGCAGAACGTTATCAGTTGCATTATTTGAAATAAGTAAGCTAATTGACATGAAAAACATAACAAACTCTTGAAGCCTTTTAGCGCTAAAAGGAATGCTATGAATTATAGTTCTATAGTATTGATGAGAACAAGGATTCGTGCTAACTTTAACCAAGGTAGTTCCAATACAGAAACCTCGCTGTAAAAATGTAGAAGAATGTAAAGAATACCACACTGGTTATTATTTAACTAAAATGTATGATAATGAATTCAATTATAATAGAACCGAGGATTTGATATAAGTCGAAACTAAAAAAATATCATTTGCATTGAATTCCATTTGTGATGCGCTATATGGTTCTTATTTGGAGAACAGAGAAACGATGACATTTTGAAACGAAAGGTTATTTAAAAAATGTGAAAAATTGCTAATACAAAAATTTATATTGGCAGGGCACGGTCAAAAAATAAGAAAAATTTCGGATAACCTGAAGAAACGAGACAGCAGATCATTCAAATAATGGTTGTGAATTGACCCTTAACCTATGGTCACGGAAGCGCTGCGTCTGATGTAGGTGTACATGTAGGAGTTAGCGAGTTTTTTTGCATTTTGTGACACCTGGTGTTTAATGGCTTCGTCTATCATTATTGGAAAAGGTTGAAAGATGGTCCGATTATTAATAATGGGTCCAAAACTCAATTAACATCATGTGAATAGCTCGTTAAATGTAAAGCTCGTAAAAGGTGTCCATATGACATTTCTGACGAGTTCACATTTTGCTATAAATTTTCATCATATTCTATTTACACTCCAAATCTTACACTATAGTCCATACAGTAAACATGAGGTTCCGTCTTGTGTGCAAAGGCTTTTTTTCACTCAAAAGATGCACTCGGATCTTTCAGTGAGGTTTATTAGATCGACGAGATTCTTGAATAAAATTTCCGATCAATTTTATATGCATGCAATAATAGCTGGAGTGCGGAATTTGTAATGTATTATTCGTTACATTATAAAAAATTAATTTGATTCAGATTCAACATTAGAATATGTGCCTTTGAACAAGGTTGATGGAAAGATTCTTCTGTGAAGTGGGTGTTCTTAATTGGAAGATTAGAGGCTGTTACCTCAGGCCTGGTGACCATTCTAGGAACAATAAAGAGTTTGCTAATAAAAACAGGTCGATTATAAATAGGTTCAAAGGGCAAGGTGGTTCAGGAAACGGCATTTTATTCCGTGCAGTTCTTATCCAATCACCTTGTTGGTAGATCAGAACCTTTTTGGGACGTTATACATCATCACAAAAAAAAGGGTTGGGCTTGGCTACGAGATAAGGTCAAATTGTTCAATAATAATATTTATTTAGGCATATAAATGCCAGAACTTGTTTTCAAAAAGGCTTGACTAGCAACTTTATAAATATTTTGGTACAGTCAGGGAAGGAATAAAAATTTTAAAAAGTTTTGGCAAATATTTAAAATATAGTTGTGATTCTGCCATTGAAATTTCATCAAATTTATATAATTTGAAAGTTCATATAAACAAGGAATGACAGGCGATTAGCGATGATAGCAACTGCTTTTAATGATGGCCGGCGTAAGGTCGGCCACCTCTAACTTTGAACTTCCAATAAAAAGGTCAAGTATAGGTCACATCGTTGGTGTAACATACTGGAATGGAGAGATTTGATGAACAGAATTGTTCTGGAAAATTTAGTTTGGTGATGCAGACGGTAATCAGAATTTGGAACGATCACTGTTGTGCAAAGCTTGCTGTACGAGATAAGGCGTGTCAGCATAAGTGTAGAATCGCATTTGAGAAAAATTTCTTTTTTTATTATTGTAAAAAATTTTAACCTTCAAAATTGCACATTCACAAAAATTTCTTAGGTTCCGTGCGGTGGCTTTATTTAAATCTGTGTTCAAGTCCACAATTGAAAAAATATAGTAATCGCTATAGCAGTGTAATTTCGATATTAAAATTTATAAATGTGTTTACTCTAAATTTTTGCTCAGGGTCCAAAATGTACATTTTCTCATGGACTTAGTCTTTGATAAAACCATTAGAGTTGGCGGTAACTCAAGTCCTTCCATATAATACACATTTCGCAACCCAACAGTCATTCTAAATCGCATGTTGTTTTCACTTATTTTAAGTCAACATTCACTCTCGCTCATCATTCATATATGAGTGGAACCTCGCTTCTAGCCATAAAACTGTCCGGTTTATCTATAAATAGACATTCACTTTTGGTCACGACTATATTTTTAGGACTGTAACTCCCACTCAGTTATCGTTAAGAACGACACTCACCTTTCCCTGGGCGAAAGTTGACGTTGTTGGCCGTTGCAAGGGCGACATCCGTCCGATCAGAACTTGGGACATGCTTTCGTTTTTCGCCGGTGGTATTTTCCGGAACAAACTTTTCTTCTCCATTGAGAAGTTTATCTCCAGGCGCAGATGTATAATCTTCAGTCGTGAAGAGTCCAGATTCAACAGATTTGTTGGAGTAGCTCTGAGTATGGTTTTCTAAAGCCGAAGGAAAATTTCCGTTGTTCAACAATGATTCTTGTTCAGTTATTGATGCAATTATGTTGTTCGACAACGATAAATTTTGGGATTTCAACTCATTTCCTGTGGATATACTGGGAGCATCCGCTGAAACTTTCAAGCTATTATTGTCATCGTGACTTATTTCAGGAATGGCTGTGATCCCTGAATCATTGCTGAAAAATGTACTGAATATATTTACGTTATTAAGATGATGAGGGGTTTGTAAATCAGGTATTTCCAACGCTACGCTAGTTTTATTGCGAATTTTAATTCTTCTACGTGAATTACCCAATGTACCATGTAAATTAGGTTCTTTAACGGAATTTTTATCCAGTAGATAGCCTGAAATATTGAATTTTTCTTTAAATTGTTCATCATTCAAGTTTCCAGCTAAATGAACACTATTATTTCTTTTCGCATGCTCGTGATTACCTGCAATTTGAGAAATATTAATTGTATTTCTGAAGTCCTTGGCTGAAAAGTTTTCAGAGTTCACATTTTCCACTTTATCAGAGTGATCACTTGCATCATCATCAAGTTTTGGGGATTTTTTCAGATTCTTTATGGAGTTTCTCACTCTTTGAAACCCTATAACATCACTGATATCACCATGACCGCTATTTTCAACGACATTTTCATTGTTTTCGGCTGAAATTTTATCTTCTTTTCGGTTAAAATTTCCACTTGCAGAACTACTTTGACGAAGATTAGAATTTCCTGAATAATTCCCACGATTTTCAAAACGAATTTTGGAAAGATTTTCTTGCCGATCGTGAATGTTTTTATTATCAATTATTTGATTATTTTGAATATATTCTTTGTTAGAGAGTTCACCATCACTTACCTCAACTCTTTCGTTTTCTGAGCCAACTGTTGATGGCTGTAAAGACTCACCCTCTGCTCAGAGAAGGAAAGAGATACAATGAAATTGATGGAGTCACACTGATAGACATGTTCAGATCCAAAAACTTTAGCATTTTTAATTGCATGTAAATTATTAGAATTCAAAAATTATTTTTTTTTCAGGAAGTTTTATCTTGGCTGGATTTGCAATGTTTTATTATTCATTAAGAACACCTTTCGTTCGACTATTTATATGAAAAATAAATATAATTCATAGGTAGCGTAGTTTTTAAGTTAATTATATCTCACATAAAAAGAATAGCATAAATCAAGCACATTGTTAATGCAAAAGAGTTAGTAACTGTGTTAGTTGGTTTATTAGAACTCGATGCTTGTACCCGTGCTAGTTATAAGTGGACATGCAATATTCGTAATTTTCAGATAATTACTATTAAAATGTTACTCATGAGCAAAAAGATACGAAAAAACGTTGAAAATATTTTAGTTTTCAAGAACCAGTATCCAAATTTGTGGTCCTTATTAACAAAATTCGAGAATATTGCCCACGAAATTTTTCTTCAAGGCAATGAGGCGAAAAAAATAGTCAAAATTGATTGATGAAGTACTTTCTGTTTAACCTAAAATGTGGAATATTGATCGAAGTCCTTCACCTGATGTCGAGAATTTATCTGTAATTATTTTTCTTATACATTTGTCCATATGGTGAAATAGAACAAAATTGCGGTTTACTACTCGCGCAACGAAATGTCACATTTAACTTTAGGAAAGACAAATAAAATGAAATTTATATCATTAGTCGGTTTATTTTTATTTAATTAAAACAAAGTATTTACGTCCTTGAATTTATGCAATTCAGATCTATTCATAATATTTTCACGGTTTCACTGTGATTGAAGGAATAAATGCAAAATTTTTCTTTACGTCTGAGTGTTAAAAAATTGTTTGATTAATTCAGAGGTAGCTCAAGTGTGGAGAAACATCCTATTTGTGCGCGTATTAGTTGCAAAGTACATCAGGTGCCTCAAGTGCAGAGTACATCAGGTGCCAACTGATGTACTCAAGTGCAGAGTACATCAGGTGCCAATTGATGTACTCAAGTGCAGAGTACATCAGGTGCCAATTGATGTACTCAAGTGCAGAGTTAATCAGGTGCCAATTGATGTACTCAAGTGCAGAGTTAATCAGGTGCCAATTGATGTACTCAAGTGCAGAGTACATCAGGTGCCAATTGATGTACTCAAGTGCAGAGTACATCAGGTTCCAATTGATGTACTCAAGTGCGGAGTACATCAGGTGCCAATTGATGTACTCAAGTGCAGAGTAATTCAGGTTCCTTAAGTGCAGAGCAAATCAGGTGTAGATTGTGCACGCTCACCACAGTCCAGATGGCCAACTTTATTAAAGATTTCAAAGAGTAAGATTTCCCTAGTGGCAGTCTAGTCACATAGATAACATTATGAGAGAACGTTGCTCCAAAAGAAATTGTATTTTATTCTTCTATTTTAAAAAGAGATTAATTTTGAGAAGCAAATACTTCTGATTTCAATGAAATGTGCTGAATTGATAGTGAATTTTGCCTGAGGCTAAAGTAAATATATTAAGGCTCAAAATCCCAAATTTTTATCGCTACATCAAATTTTTTTCCGATCGATCGTGGCAAAACAGACTGTAGCTCACGTGACATGATTAACTGGTGAATCTTACAATTATTCAACATTGCAGTGCACTTGCGACGCTGCATTATGACAGTACATTTAGACTACCACATGGCAGTGCATTTTGGTTGTTAATTCAAAGTGCATGGTGGTTTTTGGTGAGCAGTGCATTATGAATACTGATTATAAGTGCATTTTGATTATTGCATTACGATGCATATTATTTCTCACCCTGAACACCGCATTTTATATCCGGGCAGCATTTGCCTTTGGTGTGGATTATTTCACAGCCAGTCAGCATTTCAGTGAGGTATGAAATCTTTGGACAGACCCTCAGTCCACAAATAATTGTTCTTTCATAACAGATGCACTCGAGACAAGCCTCCGATGTGGGTACGTGGTCACCAACATTGTGTGTTCTGCCTTCGTAGATGCAGGTTTTTGATCGGCGTTGAATGATGTAAGATTTAGCAGAGCCTGATGCGTAATTTAGTTGACGTGGATCTCGTTTGCTATTTACATAGATTTTCATAGGAGAGTTTGTGGATGACCTGCTGAGAGAATTTAGTCTTTGTAATAGTGATTCGCTAATAGGAGTTTCGTTATTAGTTATTATTAAAACAGTCCCGTTTTCATACTCTGTATTGAAGTCTCCAAAGCCTGACGAAGCATTTTCAGCCGAGGGAGCATTTCTGTAAGATATTATCTTTATAGAAGAAGAATAAGTAGGTTTCAAATCTGCTTCTGTCGGTGTAGGTGCACTTGTATTCTTCGAGTTGGGTCTCAATAGACCACTTCGTGCGAATGCCGCTCGATTCTTTGATCGTAGGTCCAAAGATGAATTCAAAATCCTCAAAGGCCCGTTCAAATTGCCATTATTTCGTGGTCTAACGAACAATATCTTTCGTGAATTGTTATTTGCATTAGTAACCTCTTCCCTTCGCACTCTTTTCGGCAGCTTGGTCACATCCCAAGATGAAAGTCTCCCTTTTGAAAGTCTTGGGTAGCGTGAGGATGACAATTCTTGATTTTCAAATCTAACTTCGGGTGCCCAAATTGAAGAATAGCTCTCGGAATTCAAGTCTGCAGGTATATACACAGCATTAGTATTTAATCAGGTTATATTGTTAGTGATAAGGTGGACGAGACTTTTTGTTAGTAAAAGTATTAGTAATTCTATTGTTAATAAGTATAATACAGCAGAAAATGAGTTAATCTGTACAAAGTGAAGTAATTTGGAAGTTAGTTCATTAGTAATTTAAGAAATGCTATTGGAAATACGAGAAAAAATTAGCATTGAACATTCTATGCATCAAACTCACTAGGTTCACTAGTATACAAAACTTCAATGCACTAAATATCTACTCTGAAAAGGCTGTAGCATAAGTATGAAAAGCAGGGTAAAAATCTAATTCATTTACAGTAGTTGGATATATTGCAAACGGTTAATAGAATACATTTCCACCAGAGTTAATATATAGCTTATTTTAGCCTTTTAAAGCTACAGGAGCATTTTTATGGATCACTTTTGCGGCATTTCGGGAGAAACCAGTAACTAATATCATCACTCTGCGGAAATTAAATAGCAATTTGCAGTAGGTTTAATTAAATTCAGATTTTTCGTGTCGAGCGACATCGTTGGTCACACGTTCAAATTATAATTTCACTTACTTTGAGTCATTTCACTTACTTTGACTGATGACAAAAGTTAAGTAAAGTCATTACATCGTTTATAGATGCTTGGAACAAGTAAAATTTTTTAATAAGCTAACATGCAATATAGGGAATGAGAATTGACTGATGAAACTGTACGTGTTTACCCCGTCACATAATTGAAAAGAAAAACTGTCAGCTTTGTAAATAGTATAGTATTTAGAAGTAAATGGTTTAAAGGGCGGAAAAGCCATTAGAAACGCGTAACATATAACACCGAAAATATTTCAGGCGATATCTTTAATAATCCTTGCGTCGGTTTGCCGTTGTTATTTGCCAGCCACACAACGACCAGGTTCGGCAATAACAGTTTTTTTGATTGTGTAATCGCTAAGAGCAGAGGTCGTTGCGCTCTTAAGTATATAACGGGAGAGAGAAAGAAGGCAGCGGGATGATATAACGGTGGAATAGATAATAAGCAACAGTCATCATTATTTTTTTTGGCAGTTTTCACTGGATGACTTGGCTCTTCAGCGAGCTCAGCCGCTCGAAGCACAGTACGGATAGATGTTCAAAGTGATAGTTCCATTGCCATATGAACGTACACAAGCATGAAAACAGCCACAAGAGAAAACAATTTCCTTAGTTAAATTGTTTTCTCATTTTTAAATTCGTTAAAATAAATTCCTCAGATAAATTCATTCAACTTATTCTAATGTACTAGCCAGAATTTTGAAAAGAGAACGGGTTTCGGAGCTAAATGGTTTGAGCAGATCCTTCCGCATAAGGAAACAACAAATAAATACAACATGCAAACAACTTTTAGGCGTCATTTCAGCTCCACCTAATTTTTTCAAATTACAAGGTATTACCTTCTAAACTCTAAAGCTTAACAGGCACTTCCAGAAGAGTTTATAACTGGTCGACTATGTGCCGGCATTGACTCGGCTACATTTTTTAATGTTGGAAAACATGTCGGAGTCGAAATGCTCTACTTTCTCTGACGATGTTAAGTTGGGAGACAAGTTCGAAGAAAGTTGAATGCGATGAAAGTTGACTGCGACGGAAGGCCACCCTATCATCAAGATGCACATTTTAGGACACTGAAAGGGAAAGGAGAAAGGGAAAGGAGGGCATGTTTCGAACAGAGCTCTAGACGCATGGTATATTTTTCATCTGCCTATGAATGATTCATGCCTACGTAAAAGTTCGATCCGGGTGGTAATATACTAAATATAGTGCTGAATTCTTCTTTGAATTGCATATTCATTCGTGCGTGATAAATACTTGCCAAAGTCAACAGTAAATTTGTTCTAACGTCACTTAGAAAGTAATACAATATTTTGCAAGCAGTTGCTTATGATGAAATTTTGTTGACGATAAAAAAAACAATATTTAAATTCGATCAAACTATTGACCATACATAATAATGCTTTGTTATATTGTCCCGCATGATAATGCTTCATTGCCACGTCCTGGACCATAATGCTTCATTGCTACGTCCTGGACCATAATGCTTCATTGCTACGTCCTGGATCATAATGCTTCATTGCCACGTCCTGGATCATAATGCTTCATTGCCACGTCCTGGATCATAATGCTTCATTGCTACGTACTGAAGCAGAGTGCATGGTATTTATATGTGCTATTATCACTGAGAATGGCATTTATTGCACTTATAAGTTTTTATGAAATGACTGAAATATTGAAATGAATGAAATTGAATGACTGATAAATAACATTCAAAGAAATCATTTTTATTAACTTATATCACCGTTTTATTTAGTTCAAGCTTGAACCCAACATCATTACGGTATAAATTCATAAAATCTGACGGAAACAAAAACCTAAACAGAAATAAATATAAAGCTAAGGAAACTTGAAATCAATCTAAATTAAATTGTACAACAGACGAAATTCAAGACCACGCGAACACCAAACCACCTTTAATTTTAAAAGTTTATATCATTAAGTTGCTTAGACCTACTTTATGAACTTCCTGAAGTCATGAAATTCACGACCATGCCTAATAGATTTCATTAAGCAGCCCAGATTATCATTAGCATTCACATAAGACCCAAAACGCAGAGATTTTACGCGCACCGTCGGTCGTGAGGCAGCAGGTTGACAATTAGCTCTAAAATCTATGGCTTCCTGCGACGAAGATCGCTAACGTCGAGTCACGTAGAAATATTATTGCCGGTTGCGGTACAGAACTGAAGAGAAATATTGAAGACTATGCGAGAATAAAGAATGATGGTTGGGTGGCCGCCCATAATCCGCCTATAACTCAAGTCGGGAGAGAATGCTCGTCTAGCAATTCATGTAACGATGATGCCTAAAACATCGTTTTATATTGAGCAATATTGCAATATTGAAGACTATGTGAGAATAAAGAATGATGGATGGTGGCCGCCCATAAGCCGCCTATAACTCAAGTCGGGAGAGGATGCGCGTAAAGCAACTCTTGTAACGATGTTGGCTTGAAGGTTAACGGAACCTCATTAAACCTTTTGCCTCTAAGGGGGGATGAATTCATTATTTAGATGATATATTCTGCTCTGAATAGTGAATCAAATGTATTTTTTTATATCGATGAACTCTTCATGTAGTGAGGTACTAATTGGTTTTAAATATGTATGAATTTAAAATTTTCCCAGTACAGCTTCTCATCAAATTAAGTAAAACGAGAATCTTAATGCCACTATTTTAGATTCTGTGTACAAGTCACCATCAACTAAACAGTCTGAACGATCACGGATAACTCATGAACATAGTAGAGGTAAGTTTTTTTCACCGTGCGTCATTAACTTCTTGAAATAATTTCTTTATTCATTACTAATGCTTTTTTGGAACTGCGAAACGAGCCGAAGCACACTTAGCTCAATCTGGCAAAATACATCCCGCAAAATTCAATCCAGGCCCAATACAATCCAGCCTAATTTATATCAGCCGTTTTAAACCCAGATTAATACAAAGCGGTTTTATACATCTCAGTCTTGTCGAACCCAGCTTACTAAACCAAAAAACCCTTATTAAATTCAAAATTATACATTATTGCCCAATACAATTCTAATGCATCCCATCCAACAGTGAAAATCGGACTAAGCAAACATAACTTAATAAAACCTTATTTTCCAGCAGTATTATAAAGCTATCATTTTTTCAGAGCATTTAGCGAAATAGTTTCCTGCATAATTATGCAGTAAGTCGAATATAGCAATATTGAGCAATAAATTTAAATGGTTTACCAACAAAACCGACCTTAAAAATGTAGACATTATAATTATATTTTTTGTTCCACAGACGCGTCAGCGAAGCCAGAAAAGTCGTGCAATTCCATTTTTAAATACTTCATAATATATTATTATTTATTGAACTATTATTGCTACAGCGCGTGAAGACTACTAAGCCCACAACACTAGTGAAATGTTGGCTGTTTTAAAAGATGAAAGATTTATTAGGAACTAGAGTCAATGCATGATTGTGAAATACACGGTCAGCGAGTCCCGCGCACGCAATATCAATAACGTATATAACGCAATCAAATGTGACATTAACTTTATATAAAAATAATGCAATGCAAGATTACTTTGCATCATAATAATTTAATGCAAAATTTATTCCTAGGCAGCAAAACAATGCACTGTAACCATGTGCAGTTAGAGTGTGCCCGGGTGGGCGCAATTTCCCAGCAAAATTTACAGACGAGTCAGCTTCTGATTTGGAGTACCAGAAGCTGGGGCGACTCTAAATTTTGTTTCCCAGTGAAAATTTACAGACGCGTCAGCTTTTGATTTGGAGTACCAGAAGCTGGGGCGACTGTAAATTTTGTTACCCAGTAAAAATTTACAGACGCGGCAGCTTCTGATTTGGAGTACCAGAAGCTGGGGCGACTGTAAATTTTGTTACCCAGTAAAAATTTACAGACGCGGCAGCTTCTGATTTGGAGTACCAGAAGTAGACGCGTCAGCTTCTGATTTGGAGTACCAGAAGCCGGGGCGACTCTAAATTTTGTTACCCAGTAAAAATTTACAGACGCGTCAGCTTCTGATTTAGAGTTCCAGAAGCTGGGGCGACTCTAAATTTTGTTAGGGTTAAGCGCCGTTACGTGACCGGGTCGCCCGACGTGACCTCGCGACAGTTAGGGCAACCCTCGAACGGCCCCACATCCTCCTTGGGGTCGCCGGCTGATCCCCAGCTGGGGCTTCTTTATTCGGGGTTAGCGGGACTGGAAATAACTATTGTGTTCAAATACGGGTTTTTCCTAATATAGTGAATAGAGTCAGGGTTTGGGTTCTGAAGTAATTGTTTGGATCTACGAAAAAGTAGGTCGGGAATTTCAGTTATAAATTTGTAAAGGGGATTTAGGACTAGATTATTAAGACTGCTGAAGAACCTGTATTGTGTCTGGTATGAATGGCAATCGTTCCATGCATTGCAATGAAGCTAGGTCACGTCTGAACCCTTTATCAGTCACAAAACATTCGAAGGTTCGCATTTGGGCGATTCTCAAATTGAAGGTGCGCAGTATCATCCAGTAACACATGTATGTAATTCTGATTGTGATAAAATAATTGGAAATAACTATGTATTGTCAATATTTGGTGACGTGCATGCTCAGTATTTCCGAGAACAATATATTTTGAAATGTTTTTAATCACAGCCAGAATTATTCCCTAATTTGAATAAAGCTGTTCTGAGAAATTGACCGCGGTTATAATTGAAGTCCTAGTCATATCATGACGATTGTATGCAATCTTCAATTATTGTTATTTTTAATCGCCAAGTAATTGTAAACAATCTTCAATGATTGTAATTTACAATCTTCAATTTATTGTAAACAATCTTTAATTATTGTAATTTTCAATTCCCAATTGATTGCAATTTTCAATCTTCAATTGATTGTAAAATCTATCGTTAATTTAATGCAAATTTACTTCCCAACAATAAAGTCGTTGATGATGGAGACGCATGATGGAGAAGCGAGTCTATGTTATTTTCGGAAACTCCTACAGCGAAATAGGAACGTCGATAGAAAGCCAGTCAACTCACGTAACAAATTTAAAAATCTGTTATGAAAAATGTTCATTCATCGGAAATGGGAATAATTTTTTAAAAACCTTTGAACGTAAGCCTGATTAGTAACTTTTACGTCCAAGTTTACTTCATTTAAGTTGGAATTGGCTTTGGTAGGACATATAATTGTCTAATTAGGATGAATAGTGAGAAATTTTTTGTATAAATTAAGATTGACTTAGAAATGTGGCGCGTAGTGATTAGTAGAAAGAATTTTAAATTAATTGCCGAATGACAAATTAATTGTCGAATTAATTCACTTAATTCGCACTAAGGAAACTACACTGGAAGAATTTAATAATTCCAACATGCTGTTATTTATAAAAACCTCGGAGAAAAAGCTTAGAAGTTACGAAAAAGCTTGCTTGCCTACCTGGAATATGAAGACCCGGGCTTTCCGCCGTGTCGCCGGGAGTCGCGCCTGTAAAAGAAATAGAATTAATTATTGTGCAATAGAACGCACAGTTTCCTCACTTTATATTTTAGCTAGATAAAAATAAATAATCTCGTGAATGGCTCTGAAAAACTGGCTTTAATTAAGCACAAATATGTTCGTTGTCCGGTGACGATGATCAACAGTTATTATAAGGACTTATTATACTCAAATTATAACCTTACTTCATATTATGAGAACTTAAAAGGAATTCCGTCTTCTTCCTTGTACTTATATGCATAAATATATATTCTATAAATATTAAAAATATAAAAAATGAATCGATCGAAGCGATCCAGAGATAAATTTCCCATGCTCGGTCAAGAACTCAAAATAAATATGTTCAATAAAAAGTATTCAATAGGTTCAACAGAAGAATCATTTATAAGACATTCTGAATGTTAGCAACTCATTATGGCTGGCACTTTATGGTTTAATGTCTAAAGTAACTATTGAAACCAAGTCATTTTTTGCCCTGCCGATAAGTCATCGATTTTGTTCGCTGAGCCGATGCCTTCATGGACATCATGTCTGTGCTTATCATGACAGGCTATTAATTTTTCCACTCAAATGAAGTCAAGACACGAAGAAAGTTTCCAATCGACCTTTCGCTCGACTTCTTGTGACCTTTCAGCTGATCTTTTCGGTCCATACTTTCGAATATCTCACACAACCACCTTTCAGACCGCTTACTTTCAACCTGTTCCCTTCATCATCACGTCTTCAACACTAAGTAAAAAAGTTGTTTCAAAATTGTGTAATTTGACGAATATGATTCAAGAAGAACTTTCTCTCAAGATGCAAGAAAACCCATATTGAACCAAGATTGAATGGAATTTGATATTTCCAGTCTATTTTAAGGCCTACCGAAGTATTCAATGCAGAACACCATAAGATATTTTTACACGTCGCTCAATACAAAAACCGTTAATTTTCAGGCGAATAAGATTCTTTAAATAATTAAAAAATTTTAATTTTTAAAAGCTTATTTTCTTTACGTTATGTAATAATTTCTTCCAGTTTGTTTGAAATTTATAAATTTTTATTTATTGGAAATTTCTGAAAATCTTTTAGGAAGTATGCTGTAAATAAGACATAAAAAGAAACTAAATATTTCAAATGATTTTCACATTAGTTATGACTATTCAACAAATATTTTCGAATTACTTCCTCAAATCCTCATCAAACACAATTTTCCAGTTCACTTGAAACCGAAAAATCGTCATTAAAGAATTAAATTTTCTCATTACCCCTGACAGACCTAAGCGGTCGCGTCACAACGGTACAGCTCAGGGCGAAGATACTTTCTTTTCGTTGACTTGTGGTGCATGGTAGCTTATAGATTATGTGAGGGCTTATAAACCCCTAACCCCCAAATTTTTTGATCTTTGTGGTTTGTATTTTATCTCTTTATCCCGACTCATCAATTCGGTTTGAATTAAATCAAATGGTCCTGCATAATCGTTCAAATGCTAAATGTTTAGATGATGGGTTTCTTCATAATAAATTTTCGAAACATAGCTATCCATTTCAACAATCATGTGGCGAGAATATTTACATAAAGTGGTCTAAAATGATTATTAAAGTTACAGGGTATTGTCATAAATTAATCTCATTCATTAATCTCATTTGAGCTGATTCATATGCATCCGATATTCGATCAACTATTTATTGTATTTTTAATTCATACAGTTACCAAATCTCTTACATACTCGCTGCGTTGACTATGTTAGATATGGTATCATGTTGAGATAATGTCGAAAAAAGATTCCATAACGTTCAGGCCTGTTATTGATATATGAAATAAAAACCAGTTTACTTTCACATTCGGAAGCTGCGGCTAGAAGCCTCAAGCGTTTCCCGGCAAGGAAATTTATTAAAGCTGCATCATCAGCTGCTACATGTGGCAGTTTAAGAACTTTATAATGACATCCTAGCATAAAAAAACTTGATATCACCGTGATAATTATTAGAAAACTTCCTAAAGGCCAATGAAAGTGTACAATTTGAAGTTTTAAATTGGAAGCTTGGAGCACATTATTCAGAAATTATGCATGCGAGTGGGAATTTAGTGCTAATGCATAATTTAATACTGTCAGGAGAAGGAGGAAATTCAGTTTTAATGAGACATCACATTTAATATTAATATTATTGATGTGTTTTTCTACAATGGAAACAATTGGTATTATATTGCTAAATTTTATCTTCCTCAAGGGGAAAATACAACTTGGATCGAAAATCCCTTTAAGAAACTTAACAGCGCCTTCATTGGATGTAAAATTGAAGTTTGCTTAATTATTCATCGTTTATTATATTATATTTGTTAATATTTAAAATATTCTATGTGATTTTAGAGCTAGATTGATTTTGCGTAAAATTTTTGTCGAAATTATCAGTCATATAGAGTAATTTTTGTATAGTTTACTTTGATATACTATACAAATAAAATAGCTTATATTGTAATGCTGAAGCGATATATACGTAGTTTGTTACTAAATTCAAATTGTGCATTGTAAATTAGTGGAAATAATAAACGAGGGCATGAATTAGTTGTGAAAGATCACGAGGATAAAAACGATTGCATTTCACTTGAGGATAAAGCATGAGGTTGAGCTCTGACAGTCACACTGTGGATGAAACCGCACTTCACGACTACCATTCACGCAGAAGTGATTAAGTGATTATCCTGAAATCGTTTTTGCATAATTGCAATAATGAAGTTTATAAAATTAACCTTTCTGAAAATATTTAAGTTTAAATGAAGTGAAAGAGACTGAGTTTACTGAGAAAGGATTTTAAAGCTTTAAACAGATTGCTGCTTCTGTAGTTCAGTCGAGTGACACAATTAAACTACCCTCGATTCATAAGATGAACAAAGAAAAAGTTAAAATTTGTCATAAAAAACAATCAAGTACATAAATGTGAAAATGAAATATACGTCGACGATGTATGTGACAGTACACACCTCTTCTTTTTTTGACTTCAATGTCAGTATCTCAGAAAAAGGCTTTTTGACGATCTAAATTTAATTATTGAAGGCCGACCATAGGGCAATTTTACGAAAAACCTTTTATCTCATATTATTTCTCCCAATGATATTATTTTCAACTCGAAACCATAATACAATGATAATGACCATAATACCATATTTATCCTGATGATATTATCTTCAACTCAAAACCATAATACAATGATGATGACGATAATACAATATTTCTCCTAATGATATTATTTTCAACTTAAGAATAATAATAAAATGGAATAGCCCTAGTCAGCGCAGAGCTTCGGAAGACTCATCAAAAAGTGAAGAACACAAACACAAACAGAGAAAAATACGCACAGGTTTTGAGGGAAAAATGTTCGGAAAAAATACAGAAGGCCGAGCCGACAGTGAGTTCCGATACATACACGCAGGCGAGTTACGGCAAGCAGGCGAGTTACGGCATGCAGGCGAGTTACGGCACACAGGCGAGTTACGGCACTCGGCACGCAGGCGAGTTACGGCACGCAGACGAGTTACGGCACGCAGGCGAGTTACGGCACGCAGACGAGTTACGGCACACGGTCCCGGGTGCCCCGGCGTGGGCTGAGCGGCGTCAGGCGACCGGTTTTGGCGGGCGGGAGGCCAGTGACTTCGCCTGCTGCTGCTTCTATTGCAGCTGTTGCTGCTGCTGCTGCTGTTGCTTCGGCCAGTGACTTCGCCTGCTGCTGCTTCTATGGCTGTTGCTGCTGCTGCTGTTGCTGCTGTTGCTGCTGCTGACTGCTGCTGCTGTGGCTGCTGCTGCGGTAGCTGCTGCTGCTTCTGTTGCTGTGGCTGCTGCGGCTGCTGTTGCTTCTACTGCTGACTGCTGCTGCTGCTGCTGTTGCTGCGGCTGTTGCTGCAAAACGCCCGATAAATAAAGTAAAATGAGCGACAAACAAAGCAACGTGCCCGATAAATAAAGCAAAATGAGCAATAAATAAGGCTACGTGCCCGATAAATAAAGTAAAATGAGCGATATATAAGCTAAATGCCCTATAAACAAGGCAATGCCAACAATAAATGAATAAAGCTATTAAAAATAAATGAATGAATAAATAAAGCAAGCGCACCTTATGACCTCACACTTCGTAAAATCAAATTCCGTGCAACAACAACAACGAAATCAAGCCACGGATGCGCGGTTGACTGCGCCTCCTTCCTCGAGTCGTCCTGCGTGCATTGCTTGCGCTGCTGCCAGACACTTTGGCCGGCAGGATACATTACGTCAACAGATACTTCGCGCCTGCAGGATACTCTGAGCCTGCAGGATACTTTGTACCAGCAGGATACTTCATGNGAACTTTTTTCAGTATTAATTTACGTAATTTACATTCATAAAATCACAGCTGCACACAAGTGTTAACTCTAGAAAAATCGAAGTTCTGATATGACTAGAGGCGGAGATAGCAAACTTGTATTATTTAACAACACCCCAAGAATAATGTGAATTAAAAAAATTCCACTGTTAATAAACCAAAAAACTTTTCATGATTCTGACGAACATAGAAGTACAAAACTAATAGAAGTATTATTAGTTAGTAGAAGTACTAACTAATAATACCGTTCTACACCGGAAGTAAATATCCTGGTGGCACATTTTCTGAACAGTGCAAGCATTTCACATAGGATTTAATCTGGCCTTGACAGGTGTTCACTAACACCGAACTTCTCGAGAGAGGAGATTTCTCCTTTCTAATGGGCGAAAAGGAAACTGCTTCATTAAATAAAGAGGACGATTATATTGTTAAACTCCGTGACATCTCATGACCTCGCTGCAACGAGCCAAAATCTACAGTTTTAACAACGCTTTTTTGGAGAAGGGAAACTTTAATTATTAAAATCTTCGGTAATTTTTAGTCCTCGCACTGTCTCTTATACACATCTAGATGTGTATAAGAGACAGTGTTTCAACACATCAGCCACGTCACATGTCAGCATAGCATTCGTGTTTAAACACACCAGCCAA